GACAGCAGCTGTCGACAATAGCCATCTGCTTGCAAGAAGTCGATGACCTCCTCTTTCAAGAGTTGCTTAAAAGCAAGCTGATAATAATTTTGACTCCCTGGCATGTCCCAATACCAATTTCTCATAAAAAAGAAAGAACGAAACGTAGAGAAATTCGCTTGCCCTCCATAGCTGAATCGGAATCTTCGAACTATCACGCGGCAAAAGCAATTCTACTTTCCACTGCACCACGCCCGTCAGCAACTGTATATTTCGAAAATTTTGGAAAAATTTGATCAAGTTGCTAACGTGTGTTATTTGTTGTTGCTCGCCATCGGTCAGCAGTAGTTTTACAGTTGTTATATTACCACACTGTATCGCATAATGGATTGGAAGGCATTTTTGCGCGTCTTCTGCGTAGCGGCCATCGTTCCACTGTTCCAGCAACAGATCGACTACGCGAGAACCACGCTGTGACGCACGGTTGCATGCATAATGAAGAGGTGTCTGACTGAGAGTCTAGAAAATGACTAATGAAGAGGTGTCTGACTGAGAGTCTAGAAAATGACTACAAACTATTTACCAGTGAAATACAAACCGGAGACTCAAGAGTTGCCCAGGACTCACGTACGGACGCTGAAATTTTCGGCAGGAAAATTGCTAACTCGGTAACAAGAAAAATAGAAAACTGAAACTTTAGAAAAATGTATCCTACTGATGTACACTTCAAATCCAGTTCCTCAGAATTGCCGATGTCTCACAGATTGTTCAGTGCCACGCAGTCCAGTGACTTAGAGGTCTGGAGAGTAACGAAGATTATTTTGTCTGGAAACACGTCATCCAAACAATCAGAAATCTAAGCCGGCCCACACTCTCTTAAAAAATAAGCCCAGTTTTTGCTCATTTCCATCGCAAAAATGGAAATAAGATTGTTAATTGCATGAACCCCTACAGTAATGATTCAGGATCAGACTCCTCCACTGCTGGAAGCACGTGAACTGAACGTACGTGCACTAGAGGTGCGTGCATGACTCTGAATATGACTCTGAATATGTTATGGGAGCAAGTGTAATGAATGTACGTAAGCTGCTTGGGCGTTTATTGGAAGCACGTGTGTTCCCAGAAAATCTGCAAAAGCCGGGCAAGAAGAAGCCGCCATAAAGAAAACAATAAAACTGCCTATGGAAAACAAAGAAAAGAAAGGCATATTCTGCCTCGAAAGGCAGATACACAGTAAATGTGCTACAAGGCTAATTCTGGAGAACTGGTAGTGTAGTGGATAGCACGTCGCGTCTGGATGTGATGGATAGTGGTTCAATTCCCTATCGGGTCGAAATAATTCCCGAATTCGATCCCTCAGTTCCTATTTAATCAGTTTGATGTTTTAAGAGAGCATAAAGAAAAATTTACTCCGCCGCATTGTTTCACGTCAATCTTGCGGTCCAATAAGCGCCGCAACATTTCCTCATTTGCGAATGCTGCAGCAATGTGCGCAACAGTTCGCCCATCCTGAAAGGACTGTTTTCCAAAAAATATTACTATTTTTTGATTTTACCAATTTTTTACCGATCATTTTTTTCGTAATTGATCTACTATAATGGTAACGTGGGTAGTGTTCTGATTTAAATAAACAGGGTAGGACGAAAATTTAACGAGCTGCACAAAAATAAGAATAAAACTCAAGTTCGCTTCTTCCAAATTTTTAAGGTAAAAAAGCGTAAACTCGGATCATTTTTTTAGCATTGAGGCTTTTAACGCTTTCTTCTATCGGTCTAACAAACTGGATAATTTTTACACGAGAGTTTTGTCATATTTTTTTTAATACTTTTTAATTACAAAGAGCATCAGCATGAAATAAACAAACAATTATCCATAAGCGAACCTACTGCAAAAACACTGCACAAAATTTTCTCTAAAACAACATTTTTCAGACAGTTTTACCTTTAATAAAACTCTTTATTTTAAAGCTCTGGGCATCAGGTTTTTTGAAGATAGATGATTGAATAACAGCAGAATTAAGTATTTTTACAGATATTCAGTGTTAAATACTACGCTATACAATTAAATACTCGAGTTAGTCCACATGCAAAGGTGCACATATCTATTTAAAATATCCGTTTTTTCAAAACCAGTGAATTTCGATGATGTAATCTTTAGAAGAAAAAAACAGACTTTTGTTTTTGCATTGATCTCCGCTTTGCGACTGAGTAAGCTAGCAAAAATGCCAATTTTGGAATCCTTTACAGCGTATAACAAAACAGTGAAACCACGCTGGAAAATTCTCAGTGCAAATAACGTGCGTATAAAAATTGAAATCTTTTAAAAAGAGCGAAAAAAGAAAATAAAAAGGGAAAAATTTTTGAAAAAGAATGTTATCAAAGAAAAAAACAAAATTTATCGAGCCCAAACGTCCTATTAAAAAACTCATCGAAAAATTCTGAGATTTTTTCATAAATTCATTTATGTTCACTGCTGCACAAAACTTACAGAATCGGAAAGTGTAAGATCGAGATCCTTTTCGTCTCGCAAAATTTGTTCCACCGTCGCCCATTCGCCTTTCATTGCGCAATGCAGAAGCTTAATTCAGAACTTAAAATTCGGCTATACTGGTATGAAAATCGAAGAAATTAAACCTATATTTATCCATGTGATTTTTTATGATCAAAAATTATCCTATAAATCTGCTTTTACGCATTACATGTTCGAGTAGCTCAGGATCGAAGGGCCTGAGCAATTGCGCTCGGCGTTATGGGAATATTCCAGCAATATCACTAACGCGAAATTCCCCATACCGATTACTCGGACGATCTTCGTATTCTTGGCAATATGCTTTAATATACTCTACTTTAGAGTCAATGCTCTGCATAATTACTGCTAGCATAGAAGCAGTACCAATGAATTATCCATACGTTTTCGGGAAGGTGGTTTATGCATATCAGACGGTGTCAAAAAAATTAATCGAAAAATCGTGATTATTTTGTCCTTAATCTTATTTGCTTTGCCATTCTTATTTGTTTCACCTCTTACGATTGAACTCGTCGTTGCAACTTGATGAAAATCACTAACATTCAACCTTAAAATCAAACGATCGAAAAATTTGCAATTACCTTTGATGAAGGGTTTGCGTCAAATTCATTTTCCTCCTCCAACAGTTCTGCTGAGCGCGTTCCCGATCCCTTCGATGTTACACTGCGGATCGAAATTCTATCACCAGAATCTCGACTTCTCAATCCACCTCGTTTCGTCACCGATTCCCCGAGCGATGCTGAATCCCGGAAAATTAGTGCAGGATTGATGACTGTATCGCTGAGATGTTCCAGTGCTTGCTGTAGCATTCCACCAGATTCACCGTGCTCTCGAGGGAAGCTAGTCGTTGAGAACCGCTTTCCCCGCTCATCCGTGATTCTGTCGGCGGGTGTTCGACTTTTGGTTAATGATGTGGTCTCCTCCGCAATAAATGGATACACATCGCTTACTCTAGATTGCGAGCTAACGGGACGATTGCTAGCAGTTGATGGCTTTGAAGGCACCGATTTGTCTGGAACATTTGCCTTCTCATTAAGTAATACCCCAAGCATCCCCGTTCGTGGACTCGTCAGGGAACCCCGGGCTTCAGCAAACCTCCTCGAATTCCGCTCATCTAATTTATCTTCCAGTGACGAGTGCCATCTGTTGTTCTTCTTAGAGCGTAGGTCGGGCGCCGACTCCGCTAATTCCTGTAGCCATTTTCCCAACATTCCGGAACGCGATCTTCGGCGCTTA